TTCATCTATATATAATGCATTTGTCTTTTCTGACAAGATGGGGTTTCAAGCCAGCTTTGCTGGATATAAATACAGCCATTCCTGCTTGCTTTTAGCTGCTTGGAGTTTCATTTTCCATTCTTTCATTTTCAGCTAATGTATATCTTTGCAGATGAGGTGCAGCTCTTGGAGGCAACAGATAGGTAGGTCTTGTTTTTAATCTAATTTGCCAATCGTGTTTTTAATTCAATTATTATTGAAAGGTATGTACTAATTCCTGTCATTTTCTTGTTGTTGTTTTTTTTTTTTGGTACCAGGGGATCGAACTCGGGTCCTTGAGCTTGTGCAGCAGGTGGATAAACCGCTAAGCTAAATCCCCGGCCCCATTTTCTTGTTTTTTAAATGTTTGATTCATTTCTGTTTCTGATTCATTTAATTACCTTCCCAATGAGATGTATTTTTTCCCTTCACCTCTTAGCTGTTTAGGATTCCTATAAGTATTTATGGGAGTAAATATTATCTCTATTTAGAATTCCCATAAATGTTTTTTGCAATGCTGGCTTCATGTTCATAAATTTCTTTAGTTTATCCTTATGGAAGATCTTTATTTCTCCTTTGATATTGAAGGACAGACTCGCAGAATATAGTAATCTATGTTGGCAATTGTTTCCTTTCAGGGCATGGAAAACGTCATTCCAACCTCTCCCAGCCTTTAAAGTTTCCATTGATAAATCCACTGTTATTCTGATGGGTTTGGCCTTGTAAGTAATGTGGTGCTTCTCTCTTAACAGAATATTATTTTTTGTCCTGAGTTTTTGGCATTTTGGCTGTGATGCATAGTGAGTAGATTGTTTTCTAGTCATATCTATTTGGGATTCTAAATGTCCGCATTACCTTCGTATCCATCTCATTCCCTAGATTTGGGAAATTCTCTATAATTTTTTTTTTGGTACCGAGGATCAAACTCAAGACCTTGCTCTTGCAAGGCAGGCGGTGGCATCACTGAGCTAAATCCCCAGCCCTATAATTTTTAATATTTTCCTCAAAGGGTATGATTCTTACATTTCTTTTAGAAATGTAGGAGCTCTTGGACAATATTTATATTGTTTCTTGTTCTTTTTTCATTCTTACTGAGTGAATGCTTTCATATGTTCACCTTGTCTTCAATTGTGATATCCTTTCTTCTGACTCAGCTTGCTTGCCACTGAGACTTAGTTGAATTTTTTATTTGTCTTGTTGAGGTTTTCATTTCCAGGATTTCTTCTCTTTTTTTTTCAGAACTTTCATCTCTTTACTGAAGTGGTCTTTCACATCCTGGATTGCCTCCCTTAATTTGTTCAGCTGCTTGTTTATATCCTCTTTGGACTCGTTGAACATTTTAGTAAATGATTCATTGAGCTGCTTGTTGGTCTCTTCTTTGACTTGATCATTTGAACTATCAGTTTTAGAAGTTCCTTATCTGGGATTTCATCCATTTCAGTATCTATGGGCTCAGTGTTTGGGGAGTTATGAATTTTTGGGGATTCCCCATTGCCTTGTTTTCTCACGATTCTTGTGTTTTTGTGTTGAAGTTTATAGATCAGTTGGGATGGAAGGCTGTACCAGTACTGTGGACATCTTGTTAGTAAGTGATTTTCTTCCTTTGATGTACCTTTGGCTTTGGGTGTGATTCAGCATGAAAGCACCATTCCACCTATATATGGTACTGTACTAGGTTCAATACCTACCACTGTATTGTGAGGAAAGAATCACTATCAGTAACATTAACATCCAAAGAACCAATCATAGATATAATTTAAATGAGATATATAATATATATAATTTAAAACTTTAAGAAAAGGTTTTCTACCCTTTCAGGAGTCCAGGAAAATAAAGGAATAGTAATAATATAGGATAGGGAGAAAGGAGGAAAGAAAAGAATAAATGAAGAGGAAAAAAGGAAAGGAAAAATTGTTTTTAATGATAAAATTACATAATTACATACCAAGAAAGAAGGAGGAAGGGAAGATAGGTTTAAGAGGTTATGTGAGGGGAAGGAAAGAAGGAAGAATAGGGATGGGAATATAAATGGAAAGTGAGAGAAGATACGGGAAGACTGAATCCAATTAATAAGCCAGCAGAAACATGAAGTTAGAAGATCCAAGTAACAACACCTAGTGGGAGAGAACTTGGAAAAACAAGGTCAGACCCTACCTCTATAGAAGCAGAAGCAATACCTAACGTGGACTGTTAAATATACTTGCTGAAATGCACTGCTTCAGCTGATTTTCTTATCTTTCTAAATGCCAATATTTAAGGGTTTTTCCTAGTTAGTAACTCATTCACAATGTAGTCCTGTAATTTCCTGTGGCACCCCACCAACTTCCAAATATCCTGATGACTCTTAGTGTCAGTATAATATAGACCTATACTGTAATAGTTTATATTCAGATGTCCCCCTAAAGCCTCATGTGCTCACAGGTGGGGATTTTCAGAGGTGGTTGGATCTAGGGTGCGTGATAACTAAATGGCTTCAGCATAGTTTGGGGTGCGGATGATGGAGGCTCCACCTGGATGTGGGTGGCACCAATCAATGAGCTTGTAGCCTGGATGGAATATAAAAGGAAAGATGGAAGACAGGCCTGGCTGCCTCTGGCCTGCTCTGCCTCCTGGGCTGTGCCCCTCTGCCATGCCACCCTGCCTTAGAGCCAGCCTACTATGGACTGAAACCTCTACAAACTGTGAGCCAAAATGAACTTTTCCTCCTTTAACTTGTGGGTGTAGGGTATTTTGTCTCAGCAATGAGAGAACTACGACACATTCAGTCTCTTGAGATTCTAAAATGAGCTGTACTCTGTCATGTAGCCATCCATCCAGTGATCTGCACAAGAAAGATTTACAAAAAGACTATGTTCCAGATACTGAACTGGTATTGGGATGTGAGGACTGTACTTTTACTCAGGCCACAGACATTGGATTGCTTATGGCTTGAGAACACCAAGCACACTTTATTTTACCTTATTGCATTTTTTGCTCTGTACATGTTCAGAGATTTGTTTCTTTCCAGGAAGCAATTAGGGTATGAGGAGCCTCTGACTAAGTAGCAAATGACGGGAAATGCACCCTGGTTCTATCTTGTCTTACATTCTATATTCAGACCCAGGAAAGAGTTAAAAAGAATCTGATGACAGATAAGCACAAATGAAAAACAGGCGGTCCAGTGCCTCTGTAGTTACAAAGCCATCTCTCCCTCCCCTGTGTGCTCCTAGCCCTGCCTACCGGCCTGTGACACAGGGAGCCAAGGGTCTGAATGAAACTTGTTGGAGGCTCCAATTAAATCTTTGTGGACAAAGGGCACACACACACTCAGCATCCCCAGATAACAAGTGGCAATAAATCCTTCAGCACATGCACATTCAGAGAACAGAGAACAGAGTCCCTGCTGCCTGGCGAACGGAGCAGCTGCTGATGCTTTGCTGGGTGCTTCCCACCAAGATAGGCTGCAAGGTAAGATTTCTTCTCTCTCTCCTTTTGGACAAATTTAATACTTCCTTGTAATTTTGGTCCCTCATTAGAGGAATTGAACTATAAATTTTACTACTGATTATTAGAAACTTCCTGGTTTTCTTTCTTTTTGTTTTTGTTGTTTGGGGGTCTTTCCTTATAGTACTTATCTTGTTCTACTTTATATCTTTTCCTTTTCATTATTTTTCTTCTTTCAATCCTTGTGTATCTTAAATAAGTTTGTACTTGAAAATCCCTTGGTTAGATAGAGAATTGAAGGGTCTTAAATAATTGCATTCAGTACTTGGTTAACACTTATTTTGGAAATTGGTCCACTTGGGACCTTGATCACTTGAACTGCCATTTGGAGAATGTTCTTCTAGTCCAGGGCTCTGAACCGAGTAGCTCAGCTCTCGGGATTCCTCCTATGTTTGAGGCTGACGTTGAACTCCAGAGACAATCACTTAAAAGTATTTACTGCTGGTATTAGGAAACTTGTTCATTATAGAATGTTGTATTTAGAAGTGATAAAAATGAAAAAGAAGATAATTGAAATCATCAATTATAAACAGCCAGAATTTGGATATAAAAAAGGGCCTATATATTTATTTTTTACTAATTGAGGTCCAGTGGTAAATACAGTTTTAATATCTCTTTTTTTGCTTAACATTATACTTAGGGTATTTTCTAAGTCATTATAATTACTTAAAAATGTGACTTTAAAATATTCCATTTTTTACTAATAAAAAATTCAGCAATTAATAATTATGATCATTAATCTTTGGTTGTGCCTCCAATAATTTCTTTAGGATAGGTTCCTTGAAGTAGAGTTACTAAATCAAAAGCCAACATGTACTAATAAAAATAAAAATAGCAAATGTAAAAAGATAACATTTTTTAGGACCTGATACATTTCATGACAGTAGTGTATTTTAAAAATTTAAGTTATTAGGGGGCCAAAGATTTAGCTCAGTGGTGCTGTGCCTGCCTTACAAGAGCAAGGTCCTGAGTTTGATCCCCAGTACCAAAAAAAAATTTAAATTATTGGTATTGTTGATACCACAACAGAAGCCACATAAAAGAAAATGAAATCTTCCCTGAAACAATGTTTACTTGACATTTGACAAGGTACTGTGACTTAATGCTGGTGAATTATAGGAAATCCTAAATGGGAAATCATGAAAGTCAGTATCTTACACAGTGTAACACACCTTTCTGAGCAGGGATCCACAGCTTAACAAAGGAATAAGAGCTCTTCTAGTACTCCACAGTAAAGGAAAATGGTAGAATGGAAGCATGCAAGTTTAAAAGCTTGGAATTTCATCCTACTTGACACCAATTGTGTGACCTAAGGTAAATCTCCTCAGCTCCCGAGCCTCTGATTTTGTAACTGTGAGATGAAAGCTCTGGTCCAGCCTGATGTTTTCCAGTGAGTTGCCTAAATGACTGGGCCACTCAAGGTGTATTTGGGGGTTACATAGAACCCAGACTATCATTTTTGGGTGGCAGATAGACATAGAATGTAATTTTTTGCATCGTACATAAAGTTACCTTTTAAAGTAATATTTCATAAGTGTGAATTTAGAGGGGAAAAGGAGGTAATAAATAGTCCAGGTAATAGTCAGCTATGACCTAAGCAATCGAGAGGCAAAAGCCTGCCATTTGAGAGATATGGGGCTAGGTGATCCATGCTATTTGTTTACTGTGCTAGGTATAATTCCAGATATGAATTGCTGATAAGCAGTGCTTGCCTGGAAGGCATCCTGGGAACTGGTAGAGTCATTATTAAGAGGTATAAGAAATGCATGGAGATAAGGCATAGCTATTTTTCAAACATCATCCTACCAACCAAAACCTGTTGCACTTTTCATTTTAACAGTGAGTGTCACTCGCTGGGCAGACTTGCTCCCCACTTCTGTAAAGGTGACAGCCTTTGCCTGGAGAAGACCCTCAGCCCCGCCCTCGCCATGCTCTGGGGGGTCCTGGATGCTTCCCAGCAGTGGCTGAAGGAAGGGAGAGAGTCCCGGCAGCTGGTGCTGGTGGTGGTATTCGTAGCTTTGCTCCTGGACAACATGCTGCTTACTGTGGTGGGTACGTTATAGCATCTTTGTACTGAGGGATCTCTGGCTTTGGGCCTGGCAGGCAGCACACACCCTGCTCAGTTTCAGCAGCGAGCAGACTTCAGAATTTTTCTAATGGAAAACACATGGAGATCTCTGGGGTTGAAGGAAGCTGGAGGCAATGAGTTCAAAGCCTGCCAGCCTTTGCTATTGACTCCAGAGGCTCAAAGAGAAGAAGGTTCAGAGAGCATCTGGCTAGATGAAAGGAAGGCAGGGAGCCAAGATGACCCCGCTTTTCTTCCTCCTCATTCTGTCTTCCCAAGGTGCTAAAGACTCCAGTGGCCTCTGAGTCAGTGGGTAGCTTTGCCTTGCCAGGCTTTTCCCTGAAAATATAGTATACTGTGTTTGGGTATCCAAGTCCTTACCAAGGCTTATCTTTCTCACAGTTCACTTTTTCAGAGTCCTGCTTTTTCTGGTTGATGCTCTTTTAATCTATAAATTTTATTATTGCTAGTATATAAATAGTTATTAAAATGTTGCCCCTCATGAGTAGAATGTATGCCTTTAAATAAGAATCTTCCCAAGAAAAATAGTTAATCCAATACTGTCAATTCTTATTAATATGGTTCTATAGTTCAGCTATGGTCTATGAAATTGTTGCAAACACTGAATTAGGCAATACTGAATCATTGTTCCTAGGCAGACATACACACAATACTCCCCAACATAAATTAAGTCATCAAAACAATGCATCCCACTTGTTTGTATTTTCTCTACCAAAAATAATTCAGTGCAGAAGTATTAAATGATGTGCCCAAGGCCACTTGCAACCAGGTGGAATTCAGATCTCATGAAACCATCCCAGAGCTGGTTCCCCTTGGACCACACCGCACTGGTTCCTAAGCCTCTTCCAGTTCTCTGATCACCTGTGTGTGGGGCTGAGACAAGGGGCAGAGCTTCCCTTCTTCCACTCCAGCCAGAATGTACACATCAGGTACCTCAAATTCTTAGGCACTTTCCACCTGTCTGCAAAAAATCGCGATAGCTAAGCAAGTATTGATTTTCGGTTATAAACAACCTTAGTGAGCAGTGAGTTAGCCAGTACAGAATCCTCAAACCTGTGAGACCAACTGTATGATGGTTGGGATTTAGGTCCTTTTGCTTGTAGGCAGGCACAATCTTTAGTGGGTAACTGATGTCACTTGTACATCTTCCTTTAGTGCAAAACCAACCCCCTTCGTAATGCTCCCGAACCCAGTAGTGGTGAAAAGGTGATCTGTCCTTAGCCCTCATTCACGTCTTTTTTGACTTTCAGTGCCCATTGTGCCCACCTTCCTCTATGCCACGGAGTTTGAAGAAAGCAACTCTTCTCTGCACACCGGTCATTCTCTAAGTTCCCTGCAAACTCCCACCCCTCTTGCCTTCTCTGGCATCTTCTCCTTTTTTGACAACATCACCATAGTTGTGGAAGAAAGTGTTCCCAGGAGCACAGCATGGCCCAGTGGCTCTTCTGGCACCATCCCCCCTCCAGTCGCTGTGGCCAGCTCAGCGCCTAAAAACAACTGCTTGCAAGGCACAGAGTTCTTGGAGGAAGAGAACATTCGGGTCGGAGTTCTGTTTGCTTCAAAGGCTTTGATGCAACTTCTGGTCAACCCATTCGTGGGACCTCTCACCAACAGGTATCTTAGTGGGCACAGTACCCCACAAGCTCAGGTATTAATAGCTGGGGTTTCATAGTGGTCGTTAGAAGGGGAAAAACAAAGAAGACTCTGGTCCCCAGGGGAGTAAGACATTTGGAAAGCTGGTTTGTCCGAAGGATGATGTATCTGTGAGATGTCGCAGGCTTCTTGTTTTCTAAGTGATGTAATGAATACTAAGGGAAAAGAAGAGAACCAGTGAGCAGCAGATTATAGTTGATATCTCATCAGTGCTCTGGAGCAGGGCTTGAATGGGGAGAGCAGGAGAGTCTAATCCAGTCTAAAGTACTGGGCTTCCTACTGTTTGTGTCTGGGATTGTCTTGGTGTTTTAAGGCAGTGCACACTATATAAGCTATCCTTTCTGGAAAAGAGGATTTGCCCTTAGTTTGGGGGGTAAATTTCATATTTGTTTATTTATTTTATTTACTTGTGTTCATTCACGTGTTGTATTCCATCTCCGCACTTGGACTCATAGACAGGTTTTACCATGTACTCAAATTAACTGCATTTCTGTTCCCATTTACATTAAAAATATATATGTATATGAAAGCCTGTTGGGAGTGAATCTTGTTTAATCTTTTTTAGGGTTGGATATCACATTCCTATGTTTGCTGGCTTTGTTATCATGTTCCTCTCCACCACTAGTAAGTAATTTGCTTCCCCTGCTCTTCCCTTCACTGAGTGTCTTTGTGTGCTTCTTTTTTTTTTTTTACTTTGTACTGGGGATCAAACTCAGGACCTTGCGCTTTCGAGGCAGGCACTGGAACCACTGAGCTAAATCCCTGGCCCTTATTGAGTGTGTTTGATTTTTCTCATGTGACTGCAGTGTAAAGAACAGAGTCAGTTTAGCCCAGAGGGTAATTAGGCATTGGACTAAGTGGACTAGAACACTGATTTGAATGCTTTGCAATTTTTGGAGTAGGAACTAGCATAGTAGTGGCAACTTAGTCTAGTTGGAATGTGTCTATTCTGTGGAAGAACAGATACTTCATTTGTGTCAGTGGAAATCATGAAAGCTGCATGAATATGTATGCTATAGTATGTGTGTATGTGCATGTGCACACATGTGCATGTGTGTGCTACTACCAGTAGACCCCTGAGCAAGTTTAGCACCCCTCCCCATGTTTGGGAAGATATCATAGTGTTTTGATATGCCTTGGTAAAAGACAACTAACAAAATAAAATGAAAGTTGGACAACAGTACTGAAAGATTCCAAAAAGGTTACTGCTTTCCAGCTAAGGGCATTAAAGGTTATAGCTTAGGAAAGTAAATTTGCTAATGGAGCAAGAAAAGAAAAGGACAAATAGTCTACCCAGTATCAGCTAAACATTCCTAATTAAATGGGGATGGAATAGAAATAGTAAGAAAAATATAGTTGACCCTGAAATGTAAAGTAAATAAGAATGCAAGGGGAGTTCACATTTAGGGTGTGACTTAAGGGCAGGCAAGCTGTGGACCCACCAGAGATCCTGCAGTCTCTGTTGACTTCCTGCTCTCCTCCAAAAACATAACTTTTCCCTCTTATCTTTATTATCTTCCTGTTACTTATCTATTTTCTGTACAACTCCTCCTCAATTTTTCTTACCTCCCACCATAGGATTTGACTCCTACTGACCCATTATTTAATATGAATGTATTACAATCAGGGCTGGAAATTAAAAATTAAAAAGATCATCTAATGAATCTTAAAAATCATTCCACAGATTTTTTATTATGTCACTTAAAGAAAGAAAAGGCATAGATCCAGGTCTCCAGGAGGGTATGGTGGCTGGGAAAAAACATCCTGCAAAATAAGATAGTGCAATATATTAGTGGAGCCCAAAACTCTTTAGCATTAGGTCCTAGCTGATTCTCTGCCAAGAACTCATATTTTTTAAAGGTTTTCTTACTTACCAAACAATATGTGATAAGTCATAATTTTTGTTTCCATGAGATCACCAGTGGTGTTGTATATTGACTTAGCATAGTTCTATCACAAGCAAAGTATATTTAGTGGTTAGAATATCCCTCTGTAGCATCATTTAGGGTTTAAAAAAAACTAAAAAGGTTTTCGTTAACCTAGAACCTAAAAAGGTTCCTGATGCCCACTGCAATAGCCAAAGGTCCCTATCTAGGAACCATGCTTAGTGTAATTGGGAGCTAAGTAGTGGCCTTGGGTTCGCAGAGCAAAAGAAAAAGGAAATTACATTGATCTTTCTAAATAGAGTGACCAACCATCCTATCTTGTTCATTCTCCGAGGGGCTTCACAAGATACGAAACTTGCAGTTTTATAGCTAAGAAAGTCTGGGCAAACTAAGACAAGTCGGTCACTCTATTCTCAAGGGATATAGGGATGGTAGACTGAACAGATTGAAATCAGAAAGCCCATGAAAGGGCACTGGAAGCAGGAAGAGGGAGACGAAGAATGTGCTTGTTTGGGAGACAATGAGTAGTAGAATGTGATCATGTCGAGAAGTAACTGCTGAAGATTATAAACACAACCAAAGACACCTGTAATGAATGCCCCAAAGGATTAAAATTCTTCTGATTCAGACACTTTGGGAGGAATTCTCTCTTAGGAGACATTGTTCTGGAATTGACGGTGAGGCATGTCTGAACCTACCAACCTGACTGCCAACACCCTGTAATTTAGTTTTTGATATCATATTCTTGTTTGACTCTCATTTTCATGTATGTTAGTCTCCAAATAACAAAGAGTCAGAATCTCTTCAGGGGCATGACCTAGATGTGTGTGCTCTCTCTCTCTCTTTCTCTCTCTTTCTTTCTCTCCCATCTGCTACAGAGTCTAGCAAAGCTGTACATTCAGTATTATTTAACAAACACTGATTTGATTTGATTAAAAGATCTTCCAGTGTTGGCCATGGATTTAGCTCAGTGGTTCCAGCACCTGCCTTGCAAGCGCAAGGTCCCGTGTTCAATCCCCAGTATCAAAAAAAACAAAAAACCAAAAAAACAAAGATCTTCAAACATGAGGTAAAGGAAACAATCTGACTGCATCACAAGATATTTTCTACTCAGTGCCTATGGTTCCTGGTGTGCATACATGTTGTCACAGTACTCAAGGTGACCAGTGTGGCCCAGTATCAGAAAAGGCCAAATTTGGATGTTTTGGAGATCCCAGGAGCAGAGTCTAAGTAGGGTCCTAGTAGTTACAAGCCCGGGGCATTGGGCTTCATGGACATCTGATTCCAGTGGATAGAATGTCAGGTTTTCAGCAAGATATAGGGAAAGTCAGCCTTTCATCCACTGTGCAGTGGCTTGGTTTATATGCATGTGGTTTCCCAGTCTTTTAATCAATTAAAATCAGCTCTGGTTGAAGGCTGGGGAAGATTAGAAAGGTAACTTCAAGAACGGGTAGTGAAAATCATCATACTCTACATAAACATATGCACAAATGACTCATGTTTGCCATATCTGGCGCGTCATCTGGTGGCTGGGCAATATCAGGCAGTTTGGTAACGAAGCATTCTTGCCATTCTCTGTGCACAGTGTTTGCTTTTTCTGGCACATATAGCCTGCTGTTTGTGGCCCGGGCCCTCCAAGGCATTGGATCTTCATTTTCCTCTGTTGCGGGTAAGACTGACAGACATTTTTTTTTTTACCACCTCTTACTACCTCAGGAAATTAAGGAAAATATCATCCTGGTAGGTAGAAATTATGATTCAGGGACATGTTTTGAGTTGCTAGTGGGGCTTATAGATCCCTAAGTCTGATGCAACTTCCTGTGATAATATTCAGTTGCAGCTAGCTCAAGTCAGAACAAGCCCAAGTGGGTCAGGCTTCTACTTAGTGCCATTTTGTGGCCCTTTCTTTGTTGCCCTCTTATTTCTCGAGAGGAGTTATATGAATATTGCCAGAAATACCAGTATAGTTTGCCAAGTATTGCTAAATGCTTCGACAATATGTCATGGACTCTTGTGAGGCTGCTATGCCATTGGCCCAGAGTAAATGTGCTGGGAGCACAGCTGCCATGCACTGCCAGGTCACACCCTCTCCCTGGTGCTGGGCATGTTCATGCTCCTCCTTGGGCACCATGTTGAATAGGACAGTTTGTATTCATTGAGGTCCCTTCCCTTAGCCACCCCTACAAAGAGGACTTACCCTTACTTCCTCAATTAGACAATGGTATTCTATGTTACCTTTCCCAGAAGCCTTTGTACTTCCAAAATTACTCGTGCACAGAGGAGTGAGTAGTGTGAGGACTTTGGGGACCAGTGGGAAACAGTATTTACAATACACTGTGGACTAAGTTTTGTGGGCTAACCCTTCAAACTGGAACTCTAACTAAGATTGTTACTCAAGATATAGTAGGGCAGGGATCAAGGACACTGAGGGGACAGAATGAAACCTTCCATATGCCAACTTCATCTGTCATTCTCTGCTCAGGTCTTGGAATGCTGGCCAGTGTCTACACCGATGACTACGAGAGAGGAAAAGTCATGGGAATCGCTTTGGGTGGCCTGGCTTTGGGAGTGCTGGGTAGGTTGTACCTGGTTGGAGATTGAGGTTCAGGAGGGTGGGGGAACTGCAGACCCATCAGAGATGGTTCCAGAGGCAGGTGTTCCCAAGGCCATGGAAGACAAATATTTTCCTCCCTATCCCAATCTCATGTTGACTTCTTTGAAAATATCACCATGGAAAGGTTTCTTGTTCCTCAAGTTGAGCAGCCCACAAAGGCCTGGGGGAAAGTCCAGAGGACCAGTGCATCCTAAGGAGTGAATATCCCACATTTGTATCCATTGCCTGCCTCACCTCTGCTTCCACACAGGGGCAGTGTTTTCAGTGTCAAAGCATGCTCTTTGCCAGATTCTCTGCTAGATTTCTTGTAGATATAATTTCCTTTACTCTGCACACCACTTTGTGAAGAAGGAATGACTGTCCCCAGTATACAGGTGAAGATAAGAAAGGTCAGGTAACCATCCAAGGTCACACAGCCAGGCAGTGCAAGAGGCAGGATAAAGACTGAGACATTCTCTCTCAGAATCCAAGCTCCAAACAATAAGGTACACTTTCCTTGAAGTTCATCCTTCATATCTCTTAACTGATGAGACCTAACAAGTCACTTTCTTTTGTTGAGTGCTTCCTAGTGTCAAACACAATGCTAGCACAGAGGGCATGTAGATAAGAAGCTCCAGACATACAAAGCCCTGCCTTTCAGGAGCTCACAAACTCATTGAGACAACACCTAAAATCCCTTTCCTAGAATGGGCCCACCTTCTACCACCATGGAAAAGAGAGGGAACAAAGTTCTGTTCCTTGTTAGTATCCATCTACCTAATCCTCAGCTTTAAACTTTGGTGGATCCTGGGTCCTTCATCCCCGAAGTTTCAAGTGAACAAATCCATTATATCATTTGCAAGTGCTTCAAGGTCACCTCACCCCTTCTTGGTTGGAACACGGCGCCAGACTCCTGCCTGATCTCTTTCCCATTCCCTCCTTCCTGCATGGTGCTGCCAGAAGAATGTTCCTGAGCTCAGACCTGGTGGTGTTTCCCTCCTGCTAAAGAGCACCGATGTTTCTCCCTAGGCCACAAGGTCTAGTAGACATCTCATCCAGTTATCTGGGGGCATTGGTTCAGGGGCCTCAACCTACCCCACCTCTACTCTTCCCCACTGGCTTTTTTCTTCAGTGGCACCATCTTTTCTGACACCTCTCTGTCCTTACATGCTTCCTGCTGCTGCACTTGGCAAATCTTCTGTGGCTACCTGAACTCTCTGACCCACTCCCCTGGGCTTACACAGCACTTTGTGCACACAACCTTTTACTCCTGAGCTTTTCACCACATTCTCATTATTTGTCCTTCAGTCCTCCAAGCAAATGTCCTTCACTACAAGGACAAGGATGAGGTCTTCATCTCTGAGGCCCAGAACCCCCATTGGAGCTTAGCCCTTAGTAGGTCTTCAATAAATCTTCACTTTGTAATGTGGACCCATCTCACCATCTGGGATGGGCCTCACCTCTGCATATGTGCTGCTTTGCTTTCCAGTGGGAGCTCCCTTTGGAAGTGTGATGTATGAGTTTGTTGGAAAGTCTGCTCCCTTTCTCATCCTGGCCTTCCTGGCACTACTGGATGGAGGTAAGTCAGCAATGGGGTCCTGGGCAGATGATAGCACGGGTCAGACTGGGAATGCAATCTATCAGTCTTTGCCACTAATGGGTAGTGTGGACATGTTTTGATGGAGCAAGGATTTCCCCATCCTAGAAAAGGAGGTATTAGTTGGTAGCAATGTGGCTGTTATTGGAACACCTGCCTAACTGTGAACAAGCTGAACTCGTCTTCTGTTTCTTTCTTTCTTAGCCCTCCAGCTCTGCATCCTGCAGCCTTCCAAAGTCTCTCCTGAGGTGAGTGGACACCAGTTCCTTCACTAAGAGATACACAGAATGGCCAGGTAGAAGGACCCCAGGCAAGCCTGTCACATTATCAGGAAAAAGGGCAAGGAAAAGAGTCAGATTCCACATAGCATTGCACTTAGAGTTCCACATAGGGTTGCATTTAAGGCAGTGTGGGCAATGCCAAGAGTCTAGCTTGGTACTGGACAATTCAGAGGACAAAGATGGGTGCTATAAAAAACCCCAAGAAGTCTTGTCTTGGAGAAAACTGTCAGAGGCCTCCAGACAACCTTCCCCCAAAAAAGACTTCCTCCAAGACATTCCTAACAGACAATTATCCTGTCACAGATAATAAATATCAGAGCTGGCATTTGTCTGATTCCATGCCAAAGATGGCTGTGTGAAGTTAATATCAAGTCCTCTTGTGGCGAATTACTCAACAAACAGAAGAATGCAGAAAATATGGCAAAATTTAATCTAAAGACCTTGACTTTGCATCTTATAGGTTATCAAGGTATTCTAAAAGTAATTAAATATTACATAAACATTATTGGTGGTTTTTTATGACCCAGGAGTCTGGTTAGTAAGTATGGCATCTATACTTCACATATTTTAGCCTCACATATTTTAGCCTTCACATATTTTAGCCTCACATATTTTAGTCTCATTCTACAGACACAGAAATTGAAGGTAAAGTGAGGAGCATCTGAATAATTTGGAACTGGGACAGAGTTGACATTTTGACAGTGCCAGTTCCCTCACAGTAGCTTTGGGAGCCTTCTGTGGTCTGTTGAAGCTGAGATGATGTCACTCTTTGGGACCTGGATCTAGGAGCAGACATGTCTGGGTACTCAGGGATGGGCGAAATTGTAACCACTACCCACTCCCACTAGAACTCCTCAGAGCAAGGAACACCACATTCCTTCTCCTCAGACTGCCTGGCCTGGTCCCAGTACCTGCCCAGGCAGAGGAACTTCCTTCCAGATGGTTCCACCAGTACTTACTGAGTGCCCTCTGTGCCAACAGTGACGAATCACTCAACCAACAGACTAAGTTTGGGGAAAAGGAAACTAGGATAGCAAGATACCAACAAATATTTTAAAAAGATCTTGGTTGGGGGAGGAGGGATCAGAGCTTCATTAGACTTTTGTTTTAGTTACTTTTCTCTTCCTGAGACAAAATACCCAACACCCAAAGTTAAAGGGGAAAGGGTTTATTTAGCTCATGTTTGTAGCGGTTTGGGCCCATAATCAGCTGGCTCCAAGGCAGAGTGGCACATGGCAGAGGGGCATTGCAGAGGAGAAACAGTTCATAGAGCCCACTTGGTAGCAAAAGCAACAAGGGACCTTAACAGCTTCTTCCTGCCCCTTTTATTTTATTCAGGCTACTTAGGGTGGATAGCAGTCACACCCTTAATCCTAGTGCTCTTGGGCCTAGCATTCCACCAAGAATCAGTCACACACTCTAGATTCAGCCACTCGGAAGAACCCCCACCTACAACTGCATGAGGCTTTGGAGGGACATCTAGACACAAGCTGTAACAACTTTTGAAACTTTAGTGTTTTTGGTTTTTTTTTGGTACTGGGGATCGAACTCGGGGACCTTTCGCTTGCGAGGCAGGCAGCGGAACCACTGAGCTAATCCCTGGCCCTGAAACTTTAAATTTTGAAATAATTTCCAACCTACAGAAAAGTTGTAAGCATAAGGTATAATATGTATTCCTATGGAAGAGAACTTCCATACATTCAGTTTCTTTACTAATTTTTAACATTTTTGACATATTTCTTCTTTCTCTCTCCCACACACATACACAAATTGTTATCATTCCTTATCTTTTGCTGAACCATTTGAGAGTAGATTGCTTATGTCATTCCCTTATCCCTTAATAAAGGATTTTCCTTGAGAACAAATATTTTCTTGTGTAATGACAATTGAGTTATCAAATTCAGGAAATTTAACATTGATATAATATCCAAAGTACCTACTCTGATTTTTCCATTGTCTTAATAAAGTCTTGCAGCAGTCTTTTTCTTAAGTCTTCAGTATAGGATTTAGTCCAGGATTATGTGGTACCTTCGTGTGTCCCATATTTTAGTCTCCTCTAATCTGGAAAAGTTCCTCCACCTTTCTTTATCTTTCATGACATTTATTTTTTGAAGCATATGGTTATTTTAGAGAATATTCCTAAATGTGGCTGGCCTGGTGATCAGCTCCAGGCCCTATACCTACTGTTGTCATACCATCTAGGAAATACTGTGTCCTTCCAAAGTGTTACATCTAGAGGCACACAATCCCCATTCACCTGTCAGTGGTGACCATTTTTATCACTGGGCCAAGATATTGTTGGTTTCTCCATTCTGTGGTTATTATTTTTCACTTTGTAACTCATGAATAGTCTACGGGAGGAAATCTCGTCACATTAATTTCATATCTTCTCCAAATTTTACCCTTCCCCAGGTTTATTATGCATCAATGATCCTTGCCTGAACTAATTCTTACTATAATATTTGATAAATGCTAGGATTTCTATTTTACCAATCCCTCCAAATCATCAGTTGACATTTTGCTATAAGAAATAGCCATTCCTTTCTCTATCTTGATACATATTATACATATATTTATGCATATTCTATGCAAACACATATACTTTATTTTTTTACCTGTTCATTTTCAGTTGGAATCCATGGATCACTATTTTGATTAGTGGATTGTAGTTCCTCATTGTCTATTTACTTTGACAGTCAAATTGTCCTAGATTTAGCAAATGGGAGCCCTCTCAAACTGGTTCTTGTGCCACTTGAGTGTGCCATCGGTATTTTTTGAATAATGTTTTAATTTCTGGTACAAAAACATGTCCTGTGTTCATCTCGTACCTTCCTCACTATGGCCCTGGAACCGTCCATTTCTCCAAGGAGTCTTGGTTTCTTTTAATGGAGAATGGTGCTTAGAAACCAAAATATGGGCACTTGGTCTGCTCACTGCTGTTAGGGTCTCCTTTCTAGGCCCCCTTAATGAGAGAGCTAATACACACACACACACACACACACACACACACACACACACACACACGAGTTCATGGTGAAACTTCTGCTTCCAGCCCAACTTCACAGGCATTTTGTTGCTTTCCCCATTCTATATTTGTATCTATCCATTTTCATCATGGGAATCTCGTGTTTCCCTGTAATTAAGACATTTACCTATTTGTGCACTCCTATAACAATGTGTAATGTTATGATTTCTATGTCCATACCACTATAAAAAATAAACCTACCAAACAGTGTTCAAGATGTTTGCAGTTCTTTTCCCCTTAAGCTCAGGGAATATAGCCAAACTAGTGTTTAGAAATTACTTGTGTTGGTTCTCTTTCCAATCGTGAATGTGATTGTATTATGCATAATGCATTTAAAATGCAGTTGTATTCATTTGCTTTTATTGGCATTTAGTTTTAGTTTGCTTCTCTACTCATGGTACTTGTATTAGTCTACTCAGGTTGCCATAACAAAGTATTGGGTGACTGAAACAACAGGCATTCATTTTCTCACAGTGCTGGAGGCTGGACCTCCAAGGTCAACGTGCTGTCAGTATTGGCCTCTGGTGAGGCCTCTGTCCCTGGTTGGTAGATGGCCACCTTCTCATTGCACCCCCACATGGTCTTTCTTGGATGTATGTGCACAGAGACAGGGATCTCTGGTGTCCCTTCCTCTTCTTGTAAGGACACTAGTCCTACCAGCCAGGCTCTATCCTTATGACCTCACTTAGATCCAATTATTTCCCTAAAAGCCCTGTCTTCAATAGGACATACGTTATAGCTTCAGCATTTGAGTTTTGGAGGGGCACAGTTAAGTACATAACACTAACATAATTTTATTTTTTAATATATCAAACATTACCATTTAGAAGTGAATCTCTCTATGACCTTTCTACCCTTACCCTCCCTCACCCTTGCTACTTATAAGTACAATAACCAATTTAATGATTTTTTGGTTTATCTCCCCAATGTTTTTGTGTTTCTTCTCCAAAATAGTTTATGTACATTTTCTCAACCTCTTTTTTTTCACGTAAAAGCTTTTATACTACATATTATTCTTTGCATTCTACTTTTTTCCTCTCATTTGACAATACATCATGAAAATCACTCCCTATTAGTTTATAGAGTTTTCCCTCATTATTTTTACCATGTACATACCATATTATATTTAATTTCCTGTTTGAGCACTTTGACAGTTTTCAGTACTTTGCAGTTACAAATAGTGCTACAATTAATTACCTTGTGGACATGCATTTTTAGAATGTTGGTAGTAATCTTCAAATTTCTAGGAGTGGAATTGTTGTGATAAGAGATTTATTGAACTTCATCATATTTATCTTTATGATTACCATTTTTTTCTTTACTTTGAATTATATATGGAGTGAGGTCATGATCTTTTTAGGATCTCTCTTTTTTTTTTTTGTACTAGGGATCAAACTCAGGACCTTGTGCTTTTGAGGCAGGCACCGGAACCACTGAGCTAAATCCCCGGTTTTTTTTAGGATCTCTTTATGTCTTAATCCACTCTTTTGCCTATGCAAAAATTATCATATAAAAATTATTAAAGCTCTTCCAAAATAAAATAGAGTACACACCATAGAAGATTAGGACAGAATGCTGAGGAAGTTTGAAAGAGGAAGAAATTCCAGCTACCAAGTCAAGGAACACTAGGGAAAGGAAGGAGCCATTTGAGCTTTACCTTGAAGAATGAACTTGAGGAACCGGGACACGAGAAAGAAGGTTGTTCTGGCAAAGAGAACAGTGATGGTGGAGGGACTGCTGGGATGCACGGAAGGAAGATAGGGTGACCAAATGTACTGGGATAAGGGTATGCCAAGAGGGGAGGGAAAACTAGAACTGAGCACCTAGACCAGTGTTTTAACCCAGGTGTTCAAGCTCTCTGCTACACCAGTCCAGTATGCCTTACCTGGCGAGCAGGAAGAATTCAGATGGCTTGAGGAGCTTCCTGAGGTAGCACTTTTAAGCTCACTCTGGGGACTCAGTGCTCAGCCTGTGATCCTCCCAGAACAAATATTGGTGCCAGATAGATAGAGCAGAAAGGCCTTGGAACACCAATTGCCTGATCCTGGCCTCGCCACCATTCACTTGGACCTGATGGAGGTCACGTGGAGGCAGGAATCGCACTTGGAACATGCTGCCCCCTCTCCATGCCTATTGCAGTGCCTGCCTGGCTACAGGGTGGGCTGTGCCCCCAGCTTACTCTTGGGTTTCCTGATCTCTGCAGTAAAGGAGCTGATGTAGATGCTCTCCAAGGTCCTGTGTTCTCAGACTCTATGAAGGCAGGAGAGATGTGAACACTGTACTCATGGAAAGTTTTTCTTGTCCATGTTTTTCCAGAGTGCCAAGGGGACTCCGATTCTTATGCTTCTCAAAGACCCTTATATCCTGGTGGCTGCTGGTAAGTTAGCAATGGTCTCCTTCTGGACTAGAAGAGTCTGGGCTTCGGGCAGCCACAGTGGCTCACAGAACCATCGCTTCAGGTTCCATCTGCTTTGCCAACATGGGAGTCGCCATTCTGGAACCCACACTGCCCATCTGGATGATGCAGACCATGTGCTCCCCTGAGTGGCAGCTAGGTAAGTAACCTTGGGCCTCACCTTGGACTTGAGCTAGAAGCAGATGCCATGGGCCATTTCGCAGGTAATCAAGAAGTATCAAGCCCAGGTCATGAGCGTCTCTGCATGGGAATCTGTTTCCCTTGTAGAATTACTTTCCATGTGAGCAGCCTTCCAGAGAAGCAGCCTGAGAAGGGACAGGGGGAGCAGGTGGCAGGAGCTGTACCTAGCTGTTTGGTATAGGTGATTAAAACTTTCCAATCAAAAGATCTAGGATTTTGTTTCAGTTCCATTGATTAGTGATGTAAACCTGAGCAATTCACCTTTCTCCTCTCTGAAATGGCAGCAAGCGCTATCAAGTTCAAAGAGAAATTGGAGGAATAAATGGTATAGGGTGTGGAAATGTGTTGCGCACGCACAATATCGCTGTGCACCATCATTACCATCCATATTAATTGTAGGAATAAGTGATGGAAGGTGTGGGTGTACTTTGTACCACATAGAGTATGTACCACCAAGACCATCCACACTTTCCCCTTTTCCACTCCCCCTACCTTTTGGCTGTCTTTTCACCTCTAAAAAGGTTCTTGTGGAAGAAACATTGTAGCTCTTGCCATGGAGATCTCTATGGCAAGGAGCGAGGCTCCGGCCTCTGTGCTGGAGCCTCAGGACTCACCTGACCTTAGAGAAAAAGCTCCTGCCCCTTCAGGAAGCCAGAGGCAAAGGGGACAGAGACTGCTACGTGCAAATGGCTCAGTCACTGCAAGGAGGGGAGGCTCATGGAGCCAGAGGGGAAGCTGATAAGAACCTGAAATAGCTCAGTGTGCACTGAAAAGCACCAAATCTAATTTTTTAGGGAACAATTATAGGCAAAGATCCCAGTTGCACTCCTGGCCCCAAATTGAATTTTTCTGGACTGTGACTGCCTCTGGCCTTGACAACTAATTGAGTTAGGCAGTGTTCAGTGGGGATAATGCATCCCTTGCCTAAGGCTCTGACCACTGAGGCTCCTGGTGCCCATGAGCAACTGCAGCAGGGAGGAGCCCTTCCCCAGCAACCCAGTTTCCAGCCCCACTTATCAGTGTCTTGTGCAGCTTTCCTCAGTGCTCTCTGCATCTGAAAAGTCTAACATCAAAGGTTCTCCAATGTTGACACCAGAGTGACCCTGCGAGGTTGTGGGCACCAGATAGCAAGTCAGTAAAGACAAATCTGGATTCCCAGTGAGATTCCAGGTGACGCTCTCTGGTCGCCAACAGCCGCACATGGAAAACCACTGCTCTACACAGAGATCACCTCTCCAGGTTGCTGGGAGGAGCCAAGGCATCCAGGTTACTGGGCATGGTGTGCAGTCTGTGATGCAGCCTTTGCCACATGGCCCACTGCAGGCCAAGCCCAGCCACCAAGTGCTGAGAGAAGCCTCAGCTTTGGAGACAGACTTGCCTGGTCTGAACTAGGACCTGGCCACTTCCTGATTATAACCTTGGATGTGTAATTTCACCTTAAACTCTACCTCTTCCTTTGTAAAAGTAGAGGTTTTTCCCAAATTGTTTTGGTCTATGTATTTATTCCAAAGAGATTAGCACCATGCATAGAATATGGCATATAGTCTGCTGATAAGAATTATTATTAACTATTTTCATAATTATTTTGTTTAAACCATCTTAATAGTCACAGCTGTGTGTGCTCTGCCACCCTTGAAGACATGCTGAGAAGAGTAAATATGCACCAGTGGACATGTAGTCAAGAATACACAGTGCTGCTGAAGTGTAAAGATAGCCAGGTGGTAAAGAACAAGCCACAGGGATTGAGGAAAATCTCATTTGGAAATTCCACACCATTTGCAGTGATGTCAAGGAGATGTATCTGGGCCAGCAAGCCTCCTAGAGATGCCTATTTCCTCAAATCAGATAAACAGTCCAGTAGTTATAACCTCTAAGTTTTTCCAAAGCAATTACACAGAAACAAATAGACACACTTTTAAACAAATTGCTACCCTTGTGCAGATAGACTGGACAAATACACTGAGCTATGTTTCGCTTCTGCTCCATAGAAAAGAATATTAAAAGCAAACAAGCTGTCAGCCAAGACCTGGTGAATTGTTGACTTTGGGATTAATGGTGATGGTCATGATGTTTTCTACTGGGCTCCATTGTTTCCTTTACATCCAGGGAAGTGTAGTGTAGTGAGGGCTGCTGAGATCCAAAGAAACTCACACTGCTAATTCCAAGCAGGTCCTTGTTCCGGAGCCATCTGTGCTGTGACACCATTGAGGCTGGATAGTGGGAATGCCTGGCACTGGAGTAAGAAGCCTGGGTGCTGGTCCTAAACCAGTCACTCATCATTTATGATGAGAATAATTAAGATCGGTGCTCATAGGGCACCTACTTGTGCCAGGCACCAGGTCAAATGCTTGCTTGATAGGGAGTATCGCCTCGAAGCCTCACAACCAGCCTATCTGGTCAGAATCATTGCCACCCCTTCGTATGAGTACATTTTTGTCACTATAACCAAATACCTGAGGCAGGTTCTATACAGTACACAGTTTTGGAGGCCAATGATCCAAGCAGTATGGTGTCAGCTCTGGCAAGGGCCTCTGGCAGATGGTTGGCGTGTGGGCAGAAGCAAAGCGTCACATCACAAAACAGGAAGCTAGAGAGTGATCCAGGGGTCCAGCTCACCCTTATACCAATTCACTCAGCAAAGCTCAGGGACCTCACGCTACCGTAATCCATTTGGAGGGTGGCTCCTCCTCCAGTTAAGCTCGGCTCTCAAGGGTCTCATCACCTCCTGAATCACCACACTGGAGACAAAGTCTCCCACACACGAACCTTGGGAGAACATACTCAAACCACAGCAATCTCTTATTTCAGGGGTTTCTTAATTTCCCATTAGAACCCAATTTCCCACTGTTCTTCTAAATTCTGGCCTTTGTGGGACTCCCTGTCATTGGCGCAGGCCTGTACGCCCTCATTCTCTGCTTTCCCACAGCCCTCTTGAGGGAAGTCCATGTTTCCCCCAGGCTTTGCTCTCCTTTCTTGCTTACACATTATGTCTTCTCTGTCCTTCAAAAACCCTGTCCCATTGAAGACCATGCTACCCCACCGATCTTCACTGCAATCATCTACTGATCTCTTAGTGACCCCCCCTCATTCATTAAAGCTGCCAACACCTGTTCTCTTCTCTTTTACTTCTGTTACCATTTTCAGGGATGGCAGTATCCAGGTGAATAACCCTACCAACATCTAGGCCTCTTACTTCTTAACCTACTCTCTTCAGGGATTATTTTCTCCTGTCTACTTTAACCAATCAATCCTATGTATACTCTTGGCTTTGACCTCTCTGTCAATTCCATCACCTCTGAAATCTCAATTCCAGGCAGCCTGTTATTACCTTACATGCTCTTCGCTTTGCTGTTCTAATATCCCATGTCAATTTTGGTCACACTGAGATCAGCAATCCACTGGCCTCAGGTCTTGCATTATTTCCATCACGACTCATCTCCCCCTTTCTTCACTCAGCTTGGATTCCATAGCTCATCACTAATGTCGGCCTCCTACCCAGAGACCCTCTCTTCCTCTGAACTGGTGTCACCTGGCCCGTTCCTTGACCCTAGTTAAGCCTGTCCCCTTGTTGCTCCTTGTTGGTACCTGGAGAGTGCGATGGGACAGTGGAATAACACACAATCATATGGCTGGACTCACCTTGTATTTATGGCCACAAAACTGAAGTGCATGTCCCTGCCATCTAACAATCTTTCGCTAAGTCCTTGGTCACGTGTTCTTTTCCACTTTCCAAAATGACAGTGTTCTACTTTTCTGTTCAGACTTCCTGTTGACTCCCATTCCTTCACCTTCATTGTCTCAGCTATTGGCTTTGCCACCTAGTCAAAGCAAGAAGGGAACTCACACATCTCTGTCACTAAATGTGCCTGCGTCCCTGCTTGGGTACCCACACTTGTGCCTTCTTAAACATGGTTGAAGCATCCCAGCTGGGATCAAAGCCCTACTCTCTTTGCTTTCTGGGTTCTACCACTTCCCACCCACTTCACTGGCTACTCCTCATCACCTTTGCTAACTTCTCTTCCTTTGCTAACTTTTATGGCTGGAGCCCCCCCGGCTCACATCTGGGATCACTGTTCTTTATCTGACCTTTGTAGGTGGTACCAGCCATTCCGTGGCTTTAAGAACCATGAATGAATTAAAGAGTCCCGGATTTATATCTGTGTTTATGACCCCTCCTTGGAGCTCCAGTCTTGTGTGTCTGACTGCTTACATCTCTACCTGGATACCTAATAGGCGTTTCAAACTTCTCATGTTCTCCTCAGGCTTTCCTCCCCACGAGTCCTCTCCATCTCCAGACACCCAACTGATCAAGGTGAAAACTCAGAGACCTTCTTTCTCTCTTGTCCTCCTCACTCCCACCATGTCCACACCCAGTCCAGCAGAAAATCCCAACTCTAATTTTAAAATTCCTCCCATTTCATTTGCTTCTCTCCATTATGACCTCCATGCTGAGGCTCTGTCACTTTTCTCTTTGGCTTAAAAATACTCTTCTGAGTCTTCTGGCTGCCACTCTTGTCTATGAGTCCATTTGACTAAGGGAATTTAGGAAATAGGAATTGGAGTCTCATTCTTCTCCAAAGCGTCTCACTGTCCACTCTGCTCCACACAGACATTCTTTCTATTCATAGAACAGACTAAGAGTCTTCTCCTTTAAGGCCTTTGCATTTGTATGAAGTGCTACACACACACACACACACACACACACACACACACACACACAGCTCTCCTTTGGTTACTGGAGTCTCAGCTTACAGCATTTTCTCAGAGAGGCTTTCCTTGAGCCAATACAGTTTTTCTTCTTGTTCACTCTGCCATATTGCCACGTTAGGTTTCCTCCACAGAGCCCAACATTTTTCTTTCTTTCTTTTTTTGTTTTTGGTTTTTTTGAGGCCAGGTCTCACTTTGTAGCTCACACTGGCCTCAGACTCACTATGTAGCCCAAGCTGGTCTTGAACTCACAGTAATCCTCCTGTCTCAACCTCCCAAGTGCTGGGATTACAGGCGTGAACCACCAGGCCTGGCAGCATTTTTAAAAATTACATTTTTTTGTTTATTTGTTTAGTGTTTTACTATTTCTCTCTGCTATAATGTAAGCTAGAATTGTGTCCGTCTATTTCTGACTCCATTCCTAATCCCCAGAATGCCTGGCAAATGGAAAGTTTACTTTAAGGGATGAATGAAAGAGACTCAGAAACAGTAAGTAAATTGCCCAAGGTCATAGAGCTCACAAGTGGCCAAGCCACAATTTGAATTCAGAACTGCGTGGCAAGCCCATGTTTCTAGAATTCTTCACTCTACCCTCACACAAAGCCATGTGGCCAGGGCTTCCATTTACAAGATGTTTTCACGTACCATATCTAATTTGCTCTTCACCGTAACCTGTTAGGAGAGAATCATAGCTTTACTTTCCCCAGACGTGGGAACCAAGGCTCAGAATGTTTCATCCTAGGTCACTAGCAGAGCAATAGAACAAGTAAATAGCAAGGTGGGAATTTTATTTCCAAGAAGTATGCATGTCCTTCACGTTCTCCTGCTGATGGCTCATTAGGGCCTCTTGTCAGAAAGTCTGAGAAGGGACTAGAAGCACATTAAATGTGTTGAGGCTCTTAGGAAGAGCAGCAATGTGGGTTCCCGGGACTTCTGCTCTGCATTTGCACCAGGATCTCCAAACCATAAAGCAGTGTGTTGGGGGAACTTTGCTGTCTCACAGCAGACAGATGTTTCAGATTCAACTGGACACATCCTAAGGTGAGGCTCTGTGTCCTTCCACAGGTCTGGCTTTCTTGCCTGCCAGTGTGTCCTACCTCATTGGCACCAACCTCTTCGGTGTGCTGGCCAATAAGATGGGTCGGTACGTAGCCTGGGGTCTGGGAAGAATGATAAGAACATGTAAGGGACAAGCTCTGCATTTAGGATGACAAACAACTTCTCTGAGACTGGAAGATTCAGATGAACACAGAGTGGTAAAAACTGCTCCCTGAGAGAAGAGTAGTGGGCGCTTGGTGAGGGGACATGGAGGAAGGATGGTCCTCAGTGGAATGCTAGAGAAGGGGCAGTGGACACGTGAGGAATGATCTTTGCTCTCCAGCTATTTGCTAGCCAGCTGAAGAAATAAGACAACCCCAGAGAGAACAACTGTGAAAAAAGCAGTATGTCTTTGGGGGCAGTTGTTGTCAAACAATGTTCCATGGAACCCTGGGGGATTTGACAGAGGGATCTCAGACACTATCAAAGGGATAGGGCAACAGCTTGAGTATTATGCATCCAGATTCTGTTCCTCTATTACAATGAAAACAGCTCTGGTTTTAGTTTTATCTTTGGAGTTCAGAATATAGATTTTTACAGTCACTGCCAAAGGAAAGTAGAGATGATAGAAAATTTGAAATGTTTTGTTTGCTTTTTGAGTTGGACCTCCAAAATCAAATAAAATGTAAATGGGTAGAAGGTAGACTAGACTGGGAAACCATACAAAGCAAGTTCAAGGGGTGCTCCCACGTGTGCCTTCTGAATCAGCAAATTGTTCTTCTAAGGGAAGTAAAAATATGTCCCACTGCACCATCCCTGCCTCTGCTACAGAAGGGGGAATGAATCTGGGCCGGCAAAAGATGAGAACAAGGGAAGGATAGGAAGGACCTGGGTATGAACTGGTCCTGTAGAGATGCACTTATCTTCTCATGTCCTCAGGAGTTGCTGGAGTTGGGGGTGGGCAGGACTGGCTAGTGCGGTGGATTTGGGGTGGCAGGTGGAAGGGCTCCCTTCCCTGCCTCTTGTCTGGTGATGGCTCTTTTCTTCTAGGTGGCTGTGCTCCTTGGTTGGGATGGTAGTGGTTGGTACCAGCTTGCTCTGTGTAAGTATAATGAAGCAAGGAGAGAAACAGACAGACAGATATTAAAGGACCATTTTCTTCAAAATAAGCACAGCTCCAAAAAACTGTTTCTGAGTAGGTAGGAACCACCGCTGGAGGAGAAGCCACCAGTCAAAGTGGTGCACCGTGGAGAGGAGGTGGGGAAGGAGAGGGTGAAGAGGGCGATGGGCAGTAAGAGCCAGAGGTCTGAGACTTGGCATGCAGGACACGAAGTGAGATGTGTCAGCAGCTACTTCTGGAGCCACCTCAATGGTGCATTCTGTGACTTCATTTACTGACCCACTCTGACAGGTCCCCATAAGTCACCAAAGAACCATCAGCTGTGCCTTGGTCTCTGGCATCATAATATTTGGTAGAAGAAAAAAAAAGAGGGCTTTGCCATTTTCGAGAGCTCCTTCCAAGCCCTCTAAGCCTTCATTTCCTCATCAGCACAGTGGTGTCTTGGCTGGGGAGTGACAAGAACAGAGACACAAAGCCCTGAGTACTGTGCTTAGGGTGGGCTGGAGTTCAGGCTCCACCCCAACTTTATTCGCCCTTTGTGTGACTGTGAGCACCTTTAGTCTCCTCTCTGCTCATATCCTTGGTGCCCTCATCTAAGTGGAGAGGATTCGCTAGCAGGATGGTTATGGTAATCCACACACACTGCAGCATGATGTGTGGCCTTCAGTGAGTCTCAGACCGTACTGAAGACAAATAGAAACCCCTCCTGGGTGTCACCCTAACACTGTTATCAGCCAGTAATGTCTAAAAGGTATGCTAACCATGCGAGGGGTGAGTGTGCTGGGGTAATGGCTTTGAGTGACAGCTACCTAGAAAGGAAGGTAGGGAGCTTGCATAATAGGAAGTGGGGAATGGGAGTGAGCTTCCCGTCTTGATATGGTTCTGAAACCATGCCACTGCCCCTGGGGGTAATTGGATGTTGAGCTCTTCTGTCTTTTTGCTCCAATGGCTACCGAGTTAGGGATTTAAATAAAGCATTTGATAATGTCAGTAATGGAAAAGAGAGCCAGCTCCATCAGTGAGGAATGAGGATAGAAAGGTGTCTGGGTGGAGAATGGTAGAGGACGAGGAGGAAGATTGCATGAGCTGAAAAGGACCATTGGTGTGGCATATTGGAGTCAAGTGTGAGGTACAAACTTGGTCTTGCTGCACATTAGCTCTGTAACTTTGGAGAGGGCATTTAATGCAGTTGCCACCAGTCCTGTTCTCATGTCTTAATGTGAAGGTAATGATTCTTCTTCATAATGAGGTGTGAGTTCAGTGTGTGGCACACAGCACACACTGTATAGAGGTGTTCATGTGAAGCCTTTCCCCAACCCAGCCCAGCTGGAGTCCTGACGAGCTCTTCCCCCTTCCTCTTGCAGGTCCCACTGGCTCGCGATATTTTTGGTCTCATTGGCCCCAATGCCGGCCTTGGCTTTGCCATAGGTAAGAAGCCCCCTTAAAGGCAGCAGGAAGCCCTTGAATGTTGTCATTGATCAAATGCCTTTCCTGCTTCTTTTCTCATCAGAGGAGAGTGGCAAGGAAAAAGGAAGAGGACAGCAGGCCAAGGGAATGGATGAAAGGGGGAGGAGGAGAGGGCTTGCCACGGCTGTGTGTAGAGTTGACCGACAGTGTCTGGTGTGCTCTGGCCTCAGGTATGGTGGATTCCTCTCTGATGCCCATCATGGGACACCTGGTGGACCTGCGGCACACCTCAGTGTATGGGAGTGTCTACGCCATTGCTGACGTGGCTTTTTGTGTGGGCTTTGCTATTGGTATGTTGGCTGGGGGAGAGGGGAGTCCCAGGCCTGGGTACCCTACTCACTCCTATGTACTATTGACCAGCTGGAGGTATAGCCCGAAGGCTGATCATCCTAGGGGTCTGAAGATATCTGATTCTGTGACATCTCATGAGTCACCCAGTGCTCTTAGTGTAATATCCTACAGGTGACTGAGGCTCAGTAAATACTTGTGCATCTGCTTTATTCTTCACAGGACCGTCCACTGGGGGTGCCATTGTGCAGGCCATTGGTTTCCCCTGGCTCATGGTCATCATTGGGGTGGTTAACATCGTCTATGCTCCTCTCTGCTACTTCCTGCGAAACCCCCCAGCCAAGGAGGAGAAGCTTGTAAGGAGCTCCACCTGCTCTAAAAAATCACATGCCTGTTTCTTTCCATTGTCTCAGCCCTTTTTCCTATGCTAATTTCCTCCCCCTGTTGATCATCTCTCTGACTTGCTACATTTTCTGATTCCTTTTTCATATGTGTCTCCTGTTGTGCCCTTCCTTATTTTCCTTTCTCGAAATAACGACCTCCTTTTAAAAAAGTTTTTTTTGAGATAAAGGCCCACTATGTAGTGCAGGCTGGACTTGAACTCACTTATGTAGCCCAGGCTGGCCTTGAATTCACACCTGTTCTCCTGCCTCAGCCTCCTGAGTGCTGAGATTACAGGTGGGTGCCACCATGTGCAGCTAAGAAGGATTTTAAGCAGGAACATGAAGCTGGGCATTGTGGTGCACACTTGTAATGTCAGCATTCTGGGAGGCTGAGGAAGGAGGATTGAAAGTTCAAGGTCAAAGGGGCCAGGGATTTAGCTCAGTGGTTCTGCTGCCTGCCCTACAAGCTCAAGGACCGGAGTTCCATCCCTGGTACAAAAAAAAAAAAAAGCATTGAGAAAGTTCAAGGTCACACTGGGCAATTTAGCAACTTGCAAGACTCAGTCTCCAAAAAAACCAAATCAGCGTCGTGTGGAACTCACTGAATCACCCTGCTGCAGACAGGCAGGTCTGCCCACGCCCTACCGAGGTCCCCAGTCGCACGGAAGACACCAAATCACCCTGCTGCAGACAGGCAGACACCTGGTTCCACACTACAAAGACGCAGAGGACACCAGACCACCAGACCAAGGTACTGAGTTCCGCTGCTCCCAGCCCAGGGGTAGGGGCTTCTGAGCTGCCGTCCCACTGCTCCTGGTCCAGAGGAAGGGGCTTCCCGGTCACCATCCCTCCCGCTGCTCCCAGCCCAGAGGAAAG